AGGTGTGAAGTCAGTTTTCAGATATGGAGTGGGAAGGACCAAGCCTCCTTTCTATTTGTCCCCTCCCTGCCTGGGGTATAGGGCTGGGGGGGGGGGTGCTCCTGCTTCTTCCACAGGCTAGCTGATCTTTTGCCTCATTCATGAGCCTGCCCACCATGCTACTGGCATTGTCCCAGGCCTGGGGTTCTAATGAGAACCCATATTTAGCGCTAGCACCTTTTGAAGTGATGGTAGGCACCCTGAGCTCATCAGGGGTAGGAACAAAGGGGTCTCTAAATAGCCTCCTCACCCAAAGCCACTGAGCTATGCTCTAAGCCAAGCTCAGCCATACTTCACACTCAGGCTGGGCCCTGGGCCCCATTGTGCAGGCCCTAAGGCAAGAAGCAGTCAGCAGCCTTCTGCAGAGCCTCAAGTCCCAGAGCAGCTCAGTGGGGACTCAGGGGCTCAGCCCACACACCCTTGGCAGGACCTGGGTCCTACAGGGACAGCTTCCTCCTGAGTGGGCCTCTGGGGTCCAAAAGCTGTTTGTCTAGAATCCTGTCCCTGTAGTTTTTGTCACTTGCCACCTGGGAGATGATGCAAGGTTTGCCTGAAATCAGCAATGAGGCAGGGCGGAGGGCAAGCCAGGGATCCAGGCCGTTCACACGACTGTGGTTTGAAAGGACTCATGGTATGGGGCTTGAGGAGGGGTTTGGCCTCCAGCTGCAGGTATGCATGCTGGAGCCAGCATCATCCATCGCCTTCAGCCTTCCTGGGGAGGCTAGGTCAAAGGTGCTAGGTGTTTTGAAAACCAGCATGGAAGGCCATGAAGGGAGTCAGGGCCCTGGAGCTTTTCTGTGTGACGTCCCTGTGAGATGGGCTGGGCCCTGCTGCAATGCCCCTAGGGCTCATGCCTAGGCCTGCCCTAAATCCTCTGGGATTGGCCCTTTTGACTAGCTCAGACTTCCAAGGGCCTCCTATTCTGATTCCTTGGCCCTTCTATCACTCTCCGAAGTTTTACGTTTTATATACTTATTTATTGTTATTAATTGTATTATTATTATTGATTGGCTTTTTTTCAAGACAGGGTTTCTCTGTGTAGCATTGTCTGCCCTGGAACTCACTCTGTAGACCAGGCTGGCCATGAACTCAGAGATCTGCCTGCCTCTGCCTCCCGAGTACTGGGATCACAGGTGTGCACCACCACCTCCTGGCTTGTCCTTGACGTCTAAGAGGATATGAAGCCCTCCAGCCCTGCAGTAGGGACAGCAGGAGTGTGGAGGTCTTTGACTCAACACCGACGAGGTGGACTAACTAGGTGTTCCTGGGATCCTGCTGGCAAGAGGTTCATGTCTGCCCGCGGCTGCCTCATCTGCCCACCATGGCTTGTGGATGTCGCCTCCCAGGCCAGGACTCTGTAAAGAGGACATGCACCTGCACTGGTTTTACTCCCCAGACTTAGTTTTCCCTCCATACCTTAGAGAAGTGGACAGTACGGAGCTCCCTGGCAGACGCAAAGGCCACTTCTACTCTGGTGGCTGGCTGCACTGGCCTTTAATGAGCAGGGCAGCCTGTGCCCTCAATGCCTTTGGACAAAATGGCTCTGCTGCACACTCGAGTGAAAAGAACACGAGCGAGCCCTTCCCTGTCCCATCGTAGACTCCAGGGCCTCGGTCTGCTCAGCTGGGCCTGAGCTAAGCTGAGGTTGGACAGAGCAGGGAGTACAGGGTGGTACCACCCGATCCAAGGACTAGGTCCAGGCCTGTTGGCTCGCCTGGTGGGAACGTGGCGCCACCAGGCTGTAGAAGGCTGTTTGCAGGGATTGTTAGTCGGGAAGTTTGACTCCTGCACAGACTGACAGCGTCTGCACCTGCGGGGCTGTAGTTGTCGTCAGCTTACCAGGTGGCTGGGATGGAATTTATGTCTATTTTTGTTCTTTGCAATTGTGGGAGCCAGAACAAGACAGCGTCTCGAAAACAGAGAGGGAGAGGCCCCACCCCTGGTCTCCAGCCCAAGCACTTAGTTCCAAGATCCAAGCCACCGAACACGGAAAAGCCCGGGCCGCCGCACCGGGTTGTGAGCGATGCTCGAGCGCCTGCTGGTGGGAACAAGCGGAACTTCCGAGCGCTGGGCGTTGCCACTTCCGGGCTGGTTGAGCAAGGGAAAAGAGGTGGGGCTAAAAGTGGAGCGGGGAAGGGGCGTGGCCTGATGGACTGACCTGGGACGTGGACTGTGTCAGGGTGTGGCCTGGGCGGAATGTCCAGCTGACCCCAGTAACCCTCTTAAGGTGCTGACCTTGCGTCCCGGATCTTGGCGCGTGGGGCACGCTTGTACTAGCAGGCTCAGGCTTCCAAGTCAGCATCCATTTAACCCCTCAGAAACATTAAACAAGAGGGGGCAATCCTAGGTGGCCTGGGGACAAAGCCTGAAATCCCTGCACTAAAGGAGTGGAGAGCAGGGCGATCACGTGTTCCTCGGCGCCGTGGTGAAACCCTATTTCAAGAAAACAAAGACAGCCGCGCAGTGGTGGCGTGCTTTTAATCTCAGAGGCAGAGGCAGGTGGATCTTTGAGTTTGAGGCCAGCCTGGTCTGCAGAGCGAGTTCCAGGACAGTTAGGACTACACAGAAAAACCTTGGGGAGGAGGGACGGGAGAAAGAAAAGAAAACAAGAGGGCTGGAAAGGTGTCTCAGCTGTTAATGTTAGAGGACCCTTTTCGATTCCCAGCATTCATATGATTGGCGGTTCATAACTGTTTGTAGCTCCAGTGCCAGGGCCACATATGTACACTCAGACAAACACACATTCACAGAACACAAAAATAAATAAATCTTTAAAGAATAAAAAGGGTGGTGGTCAGTGCACATCCTCTGTGAGTCTGAGGCCAGCCTGGTCTACAGAGCTGGTTCCAGAAAAACAGGGATACACAGGTTTTTTTGTCTCGAAAAGCCAAGAAAAAAAAAAAAAAAAAAAAAAAAAAAACTTAAAAAAAAAAGGGGGGGGGGAGATAAGATCTGGCAATACATTTTGCACCACCCATCACATCCTTTTATATCACTAAAAGGTAACCGAGGCTCAGGCTGGCCTGGCAGAGATGATGACAGAGGCCACGGGACAATTGGGTTTTCAAGGATGGAGAAAGCCTCTTTTCTCTCTGGTGGTTAGGTTCTGGTGGCTGGTACTTCCATCCAACTCTCTTCGGGCCCAGGAAGACCATCTCCTGTGGTGGGTGGGGAGTATGGGGACTTCAGGGAGGCTGGCAAATACTTGGATATTTGTTTCAGTGCAAATTATTTGGCTGAGTTGGAGATGGATCCTGGGTTATTATGCATGCTAGGTGGGCCTACTACCAGCGAGCTAAGAGCCTAATTTTCTATTTTACCAAAGTAATGGGCAGGTTTAGGACTGATAACACTGATGCCCTCACTAAACCACCTCAACTCTTTGCCCTGTTTCCTCTATTTTCTTCTCCATCCCCAGACCTGTGTGTGTGTGTGTGCTCCTTCCCAGACATGCATTGCTTTCCTTTCTCTTCCAGGAATGGAGCTCAGGGCATTGTGTGCTTGCTAAAGACAGCCCCCACCTGCACTGAGTTCTCCCCACCTGTATGTCTGTGTATCTGTGTGTGGTCTCGTGGTCTCATTTGCTTTTTTTTTTTTTTTTTTTAGACAGGGTTTTTCTATAGCTTTGGAGGAACTCTGCAGACCAGGTTGGCTTCAAATTCACAGAGATCCACCTATCTCTGCCTCCTAAGCAGTGCTGTCTCCTAAAGATGTGTGCCACCACCACCCAGCTGATCTGCTTTTCTTAAACAGTTAATTGTTTTTCCAGACAGGGTTTCTTTATGTAAGAGCCTTAGCTGGCCTTGAACTCACAGAAATCTGCCTGCCTCTGCCTCCTGGGTGCTGGGATTAAAGGCACATGCCACCACTGCCAGAGATACGTCTTTTCTAGAGATGCTGAACGGATCCTCTAGAAAAGCAGTATGTGTTCTTAACTGCTGAGGCATCTCTCCAGCTCCTGGGGTTTCTTTTCTTCTGGCAGCTTATACAGGTTGCTGCTTCTTTCTTGGACCTTGCTTTCTCTCTGTGGTGTTTTGAAAGAAAATGGTCTCCAGAAGTGCCAATATTGGGAGGTGTGGCGTGGTTGGAGTAGGTGTGGCCTGCTTGGAGGAGGTGTGGTCTCATTGGAGGAGGTGTCCTTGTGGGGGCGGGCTTTGAAGTCTCTCACATGCTCAAGCTACACCCAGTGAGATAGATACTTTATGTTGCTTGTGGGCCAATGTGTAAGTACTCTATCTCCTTCTCCATCCAGCACCATGTCTGCCTGGCTGCTGCGATGTTTCTCACCATAGTGATAATGGACTAAACGTAAGCCAGCCCCAGTGAAATGTTTTCCTTTATAAGAGTTGCTGAGGTCATGGTGCCTCTTCACAGCAATAGAAATCCTAACTAAAAGTGTGTTTTACTCAACTATTACATTTCTTTTTTGGGGGGAGGACATGATCTTGCTATGTAGGTAGAATAGGCTGGTCTAAATCTTGTGGCTATCTTCCTACCTTTGCCTACCAAGTACTGGGGTTACCACACACAGCTTACAGTTTCTTTTCTTACAGATAGGGTTTTTCTGTGTAGCCCTGGCTGTCCTGGAACTAGCTCTGTAGACCAGGCTGGACTCAAACACATAGATACCACCTGCCTCTGTCTACCTTGTGCTGCTGGGATTAAAAGTGTATGCCACCCCACCTGGCTTTATTTTCTTTGATTTTTTTTTTTTTTTTAATACATGTAGAAGTTAAATACCTTTTTTTTTTTTCCCTTCCAGACAGGGTTTCTCTGTGGCTTTGGAGACTGTCCTGGAACTAGTTCTTGTAGATCAGGCTGGTCTTGATTGAACTCACAGAGATCCACAAGCCTCTGCCTGCTGGGATCAAAGGCGTGTGCCACCAACACCCAGCCCATGTGGTCATCTTAAAGAGATGGTGGTAAAGTTATATTGCATGTACTCTTTAGCCTTAGTAAAGATGGCTACCAGTCACATGATTGCTTCCATCCTGAAGAGGTCATCAGCCAAGATGGAGGTGAGCTACATGGTTGCTATTTAAAAACATCTATTTTTCTAGTATATCTACCTTTTTTTTTTAGCACAAGAATTTAATCAAAGTTACATATACAGTAAATAGATCTATTTTCCAAAGAGTTGAATCACCTTAGCACAACTGATTTCCACCATGGAGGTGCCACTCACTCAGGCTGTAAAACTCAGCATGTAGATAGCACCACCTGCCAAAAATGAAAGCAAAGGCCATAGTTACTGGAGAGGAGAGTCTCTAAATGTGCTAGCCCTGATTTTTGGCTCTGTAATTCTGCTTCTGGCTAACTGTTCTTGTCAACTGAAGTATGCCAACTGAGAATATGGCTTTTGTGCTTAAAAGCTCACCCTGAAAAAGTTCCGTGCGACGATGAGACCTGGGACACTTTCTATTGGCTTAAACCCACGACATTAAGATCCAACCTTTTGTTATAAGTTTTTTTTTTTTTTTTCAGTTTTTCAAAACAGTGTTTCTCTGTGTGGCTGTCCCAGAACTCTGTAGACCAGGCTGACCTCAAACTGACAAAGATCTGCCTGTCTCAGCCTCCTGAGTGCTGGGATGATGGGGATGTCCTTCTGTATATATGTTTCTCTCATTAGTTAATGAATAAAACGCTGTTTGACTAGTGACCAGGCAGGAAGGATAGGCAGGGATACCAGACTAGGAGACGAGGAGAATTCTGGGAAAGGTGGGCAGAGAGAGGTGGGAAAAGAACGCTATGTGAGACTGGTAAGAAAGGACGCACCAGGCATTTTCTGGTACGATATGACCATGTAAAAACACATAGATTAGTAGTTATTAATTAAGACAGAGCTAGCCAATAAGAAGTCCTAGCCATTGGCTAACAGCTTAATAATTAATATGAGTCTTTGTGTGTTTATTTGGGACTGAAGGACGGTGGGACCTCGCAGGACAAGAAAACTGCAGCAACACAGGGATTAAAGGTGTGCCCTACCACCGCCTGGCAATGCTAGAAGCTTCTTCTGTTTGTTTAAGATTTCTTTATTATGAATAGTGTTCTGCCTGAAGGCCAGAAGAAGTCACCAGATCTCATTACAGATGGTAGTGAGTCACCATGTGGTTGCTGGGAATTGAACTCAGGATCTTTGGAAGAGCAGTCAGTGCTTTCCTGCCCGTTACAGGTTTAAAACTAAATTTTTGTTACAGATTTTACAGAGTCTTTAACCACACCCAGTGAATTCACAAACCCTGAGATAAAGAGTGTTTACAAACAGTCTTAAAAGATTGATTGAGGGCCGACACAGAGAAATCTTAGAGGTGAGAGAGTTGCTGAGGGGAAAGTAGAAAAGACTTAGAGATAAGACTTTTGGGGAGTGTAGAGTCGGGGGAGTTAGAGATTTGGGACCATTTGTGCAGTGGCAGAAGTTGTTACCATATGAGAGAATATGGAAATTGAGGGTACTGAGGCCAAGCCATTTGCAGGAAGACATCTGAGGAGTCTGAGAAGAAATTTGAATCTCTAGGGAGAAAGGGTTGAGAACAGGGTAATTGAGGGAAGCAGGAACTCCACCTTAGCGAGGATTCTGTCATCTTGGAGGCATAGAGAAGAGACAGAGCAGACAGCTCTGAGGGGGTGGGGGGTAGTAAGGAAATTGCAGTGTAGGTCCTTAAGGAAGAGAAGCTGAGGGACTTAGCAAGTAGAACCTGTTTGGTTGGAGGCTCTGGCTTGCCCCTGCATGGTCCAGGAATCCCTTCCCTCTGCTCTCTCCCAACTCCACCAGCTCAGAGAATCTCAAACAAAGGCAAGGCACCAAAGTGCAGTTCTGCATTCTTGGAGACTATTGTAACTTCCTCTCCCGAAGCCACCAGCCACCCAATTTCCTGCCTAAGTGCTCGGCTTTTGATCGTATTTGGGCACAAACCCAGCTTGTGGTGGACACATCATCACCCCTCACCTACAGTTTATAAAACCTCCCTGCTTTAGCTCAGCTTTGTGACCTCTCTGGCCTCCATCTCTGAGACCAGTGACCCCACCCAGGAGTTGCCTTGCTCAATAAATCTGTTGCTATACTTTTTCAGTTTGGCTTAATCTGGTTTACTGCATCAGTATTATTTGAGGGCAGAAAACACATCAGCTCCTAGTAGAAGAAAGGACAGGGCTGCAACATATAGGCCCAGGAGAGTGTATAGCGAGAGATAGAGCAGGTAGCTTCAATGGGGAGGGAGCAAAGAAAGTCACAGATAGGGACTCTGAACAAGGGTTCTGATGGCCCAAGAGGGTGCAGAGAAGCTGTGGGGAGGCAAAGAAGCTCCAGGAAGGATCCAAGAACAAAGGGAATGGGGGGGGGAGGGGCAAGAGATCAAGAGAGGGTGACAAGAATTTCAATCCGGGCCATCCACAAGCAGACTGAAAGAGTTGTCAGAGAGAAATGTCCAAGTCACAGAAAAGAGGCTTCTCGTTCCATATGACAGGGGCCCAGTAGGGTAAGAGGAGCTTTCTGGCACATTGATGTGGCTTTTGTAGTAAGAGTAGATAGATTAAGCAGGCAGCCTCCAGGGTGACACTTGCCCAGTAGAGGAGAGACAAGTGGTTAGACCAGGTAGAGGTGACAATAGCTAAAGAAATGGACTGGGAGAGACTTTTGGGGAAAGGGAGGGTTCTATTTTTTTTTTTTTTTTTTTTTTTTTTTGCATTCACAAAATTGTTTACTAAACTGGTGATTCCCTCAAGCCACACAGCCTGAATACACAAATTATTGAAGTCTCTATTCTCCTGAGACTTCACGTCCTTTCATCAACATCTTCTTGCCCTTCCCACACCTTCCTTCATGTGCTGTTAACCACCGCTCAGCTCTCAACATCTGTGAGTTCAATTTTTTCAGAGTCCACATACAAGTGAGATCATGTGGTATTCATGAATGGCTTATTTCACTTGACATGGAGCCCTCCGGGTTATCTATGTTAAAGTGACATGATTTCCTTTTTAAAAGGCTGAATACTACTTCATTAGATATGTGTATTGCATTTTCCTCATCAAGGTGAATGGGCACCTAGGTTGCATTGTATAATACTTACTGCAGAAGATGCCATGGTATACGGACATCTCTCCAATTGTCTTAACTTGAACTTGCCTTCATTTGTAATCCTCTTCACTGATCAAACAAATGCATCGACCATAGTCTTAGTAAGGCCATTTAAGTTCTCACTTCACAGTTTGGATTTATCAGACAATATTACCTGAACAAAATTATATTTGAAAAAAGGATTTTCCCAGTGACTTCATTATGAAAACATTTGGTTTCCTCTATCTGTGATACTATAGGAATCTACATTTTTCCAGTATAAAATAGTAAAGAAATTTATACTAGAAACAATAAGAAAATAAAAAAAAATTCACTGTCATTTTAGAAATGTCATTAACAAACATTGTCCCAAGGGCGCAGATCAAACCTAATCACTGCTGGACCAGTACAGTGTTCTACTGTCTTGGAGTGAGGGTAGATGTTCAGGCATGGCGATAACTGTTACTTGGATAGTCTGTTTGAAAAGGGGGGTTCTAAAAGAGAGAGAAGAGTAAGTGCCTTGGTAGAGATATGTCCACATGAGCACCCTGGAGGGTGTAGCAGGCTTCTTAGTAGATAGATGGCCCCGTGGTGAGAACCCAGGAGGGTGTAGTAGATTCCAGGAGAGGAGAGTGGGAGAGACAGATGGTTAGAGCAGACAGAAGGAAGACGTGTCTGAAGAGGTGGACTCTAGACTCTGGAGTCAAATATGGTGGGTGGCAGAAGCCAGCAGAAACAAATGATCCATACATACCTTATTAGAGGCAAATCAGCAGCTTGGTTTGGTTAGGAGAGGCCGAGCCCCTTGGAAGGAGGCTCATACATGCCCCTCCAGCGTTTCCAGCACCAGATGAGTGAAAATGAGGACATGACTGCTGCAAGGTATGGTTTTTATTGTAATTATGAGACAGAGTATGAACAGAGACATCTGCGAGGGTCCAGATTGAACAGGGACAGTGTGGTGGAAGGTGCTAGAGAGGAAGAGAAGGGAGTGAGGAACGAGGGCCGTCAATCCAACCAAGAGGCACCTCGGACGGAGAGAAGAGCCAAGAGGTGCATGGCCAAAACTGCAGGGGTGTATGGGGAAGAGAAATTGGGGGGGAGGGAAGTGAAGCCCAGACCCTAGGATGGAGAGGCTTAGGGCATGAGGCAGAGTGCGAAGTGCTGGAAGGAGCCACAGGTGTTTACGCTGCATTTGTTTAACTCCGTGAAGCTGTGGTTCTTTGCCTGTCTAAAACAAACACCTGATGGTCCTAATAAAGAACCGAATGGCCAGTATCGAGGCAGGAGCAAGGATAGGCGGGGCGGTCGGGCAGAGAGGGTAAATAGAAGGAGAGATGAGGAAAAGGAGGGGCAAGGAGAGAGAACACAGGGAGGAGGACGGCAGGGGCCAGACAGACAGACAGACAGACAGACAGTCACACAGCCAGCCACAAAGTAAGAGTGAAAGTAAGATATACAGAAGAGAAAGGTAAGGAGCTCAGAGGCAAAAGGTAGACAGGTTAATCTAAGAAAAGCTGGCAAGCTAAAGCCGGGCATTCATAATTAAGAACAAACCTCCGTGTGTGATTTATTGAGGAGCTGGGTGGTGGGCCCCTCAAAAAGCCAAAAAGCAAAACCTCACACAACAGTCTACTAAACCGTACCGGCTCTTTGACTCACTTTATATGTTTTGGGGGTTCAGTGTTTATTTAGCTTTCCTTTTTTTTTTTTTTTTTCTTTGAAACAGGGTTTCCCTGTATTACTTTGGAGCCTGTCCTGGCACTCACTCTGTAGACCAGGCTGGCCTCGAACTCTGCCTTCTCAGTGCTGGGACTAAAGGTGTGTGCCACCAACACCAGCTAGCTTTTCTTTTTAAAATAACAAAAAACAACAAAACACCCCTTTCCACAAGCTGTTCTTCCAGGAAGATGGTGAGATAAGGACTCCGTTTGTCTGGGGAATTTATGGAAGACAGGGAAGTTAGAGATCACAAAAGGAAGGTAGTACAGGGCGGAATCGGTGGTTGGGGTAGTTCTCGTTATCCGTGTGTGACACACCTAGAACCCTGAGCCGGCTCGGTGAGACACTGTCTGCATTTTGTTGGCTTATACGCATGTCTGTGGGGATCTGCATAATTAACTGATGTGGGAAGATCCAGCACACTGTGAATATTGCATTCAATAGTTACGGGGGCCTGAGTACAGGAGTGGGGAAACTGAGTTGAGTACAACAAGCAAACAGGGTTTCTCTATGTAACAGCTTTTGGCTGTCACAGAGATCTGCCTGCCTCTGCCTCCCAAGTGCTGGGATTAAAGGTGTGTGCCACCACATCCCAGCAATCTTTCTGCTCCAGACTGTTGGTGTGATATGCCTAGCTACCTCATGCTGACTTCTCCACAGTGATGTTAAACCCGTTTCTTCCTTACAGTGCTTTTTGTCAGGGTGTTTTACCTTAAACAGCAGAAATAAAACTAGCATAGTGGTCTCTGCCTTTGAAAGCACCTACTGGGTGTTTGGTTGAAATCCAGCTTGTCCTTGCATTGTAACACGAATGAATAAGTGGCCCAGACACAGCTTGTGGCAGACACGTCATTACCCCTTGCCTACAATCCATATAAGTTCTGTGCTTTAGCTCAGGAATGTGGCTTCTTGAGCCTTGATCTCTGTGACTGGAGAATTCACCCAGGAGTTGCTTTGCTCAAATAAACCTGTTCTTACACTTTTTCTATTCAGCTTGATGCAGCTTACTGTGTCAGCGGAGAAACCTATTACCAGGGTACAGAAAACCTACTACTGGGCTCTTCGTGATGTATGCATAATCTCTAACCCTCTGGTATCCATGACCAGCCATATGCTTGTTCTATCCGGAGAATACACAGCATGCTCTACAGTGGGGAATGTCTCAAGGTTCTTGGAACACACTGATCCCGGACCTTTCTGGCTCTTTCAAGCCTGATCCCTGCCCGTGTAAGCCTTTTGGATTAGAGGGACAAGATTTGTATAAGCACATATACGCACAGGTGTTTCTCTCACACACAACAATTGAATTTAAAGAAATGGGTCCTTTGATTATGGAAGCTGGAGAACAGGGAAGATCTGATATTGCATTCTCGGTCTTCATCTGCAAGTAGAATTGTTTTTTTTCTTTTCTTCGGGAACTATGGTCTTTTCTGTCAAGGCCTTCAGCAGAATAGAACAGGCCCACTTGTGTGTTGGCAGTCATCTGCTTTCTCCAAGTTCTACCCATTCAACTGTTAGACTTATCTGAAAAGTACTTTGCATATCCCCATGTTCCTTGCAGTATTCGCAAAAGCAGAGAAGGTCTGGTGATGCATGAAGAGCCAAAATATGGCCCCTGCACACAGTGGATACTGTTAACCCACAGAAGGAGACTCTGTCTTGAGGACAGTATGCCAGATGGGGGCAGTAGGATTGCCCAGTGACTCTCCACCAATCCTGACTCCTTGAGTTTGGTCCCTGGTGCCTACACAGTGGAGGGGGAAGAACTGACTCCTGAAAGTTGTTCTCTGATCTCTACATATGTGCGGTGGCACACATCAAGAAGATGGCTAAGATGCTATTTTAAGTTTTTCTTTCTTCTTTAGTGACCAGAAGATATAATGATGGAGAATGGAGATTTGTTGTTCTCTGTACCTAGATGCAGAAGGCACACAGAGGTACTCAGCACGAAAAGGAGAAACATGATGAGATCTGGCTATCTCTTAGGGGCTAGGATGAGGGGCCACGGGGGGGGGGGTGGGTAGGGGGTGGGGAGTGCTGTCTTGGCTCTGACTTGGGCTCCAGGGATAGAACGTTTGAGTGTAAACCATGAAGTCACCAGGATTTCAAGACTTTAGAGTTGTAGTTGAAGTCTGGGATGCAGAAAACTGCAATCACAGTTGTGAGCTACAGTCTGTTGTGGGATGTTTGCACACCACGTGATTGGTGTAATAAAGAGCTGAATGGCCAATAGGTAGGCAGGAGGTATGGGTGGGTGGGACTTCCAGGTGCAGAGATAGGCAGTAGGAGGAGGTAACCAAGGTGCAGGGAGATGCCAATGAAACATGGAGGGATCTGTACATACAGAATGAAAGGAAGGTAAAAAGCCATGAGGCAAAAGGTAGATCAGTATAAATGGGTTAAGTTATAAAAGTTAGTGGGACAAGCCTAAGCTAAGGGCTGAGCTGTCATAGTAAATCTCTGTTATTTGGGAGCTGGCTAGCAGGACAGAGAAAGACTTGTTACAACAGTCAGGTGAGAGATGTGAGGCCAGGACCATGAAGACATCTTTCTTTCTGTAACCTGCTGCCTCCCCTCTGCGACTCTAAGCTCAGAATCCAGGTAGGGTGGCCAGTGTCTCCATGCTGTGGTTTCCCTGGGAAGAAGGTACTCTGTACACAGATAGCCCCCGATCCTGGGGGAAACCAAGGCCAGATCACAGGCAGGACAAAGGTATAGGATGGTCCTCTAACCACATCAAACCCAGAGCTGGCCTCTTCTACAGTCCCAGTCCTGACCTTACCTGGGAGACAGCCCTGCTGCACACTGGAGCCTTCCCATTCCTATTAGCACAAATCTTTTGACCTCAGCAGCTTTGAACAGGTAGCATCCTGCAGCTCTGTGCATTCTGGCAGGCAGAGGACACTGAGTGCCCCACGCCCTGGGAGCCACCAGGCAGGCATGGGGCAGGTGGGATGAGATCATAACTAATCTTGGCAGCCAGCCAGCCAGCCAGCTAGGAGCAAGAGAGGAGCCCCTCAGCCCATAGATCTGAGATCTGCAGGTGTAAACTTCTGAGTGTTGTGGTCTCTCACCAGTGCATCTGCTGCAGATCACCTGGATAGGAGCAGGGAGGATCCCAACCATGCTGTAGGGGGTCAGCACCACTGCCTGCTGGTTTGCTATACTCAGACAAGAGGGACTGGTTGAAAACAAACAACCAACCAAATGTGTAAGTGGACACAGGTTATTTGAGTGTTTCTGCGACACCTTACTACTCCTTAGGGAGTTGGCGTTCTGAATGGAAGGACGGGGGTCAGGTTTCCCAAGAAACCCCAAAATAGACTCCAATTGCCTGGAGGAATCCTGCCAGCCCCTTGGTGGCAGCCTGGCCCAGGTTCACTTGCCTGGCCACAAGTTGTGCCCATGTTTCTTCTCTAGGCTGGGGCCCTCAGCCCCATCTGTGCAGGGTGTCTGGGATCCCTAGCCTCCTTGCTCAGTCATTCTGCCTTTATAGCATGTTTACCAACTATTGGCGGTGGGATTGGAACCCAGTACATGAGTAGGGGAGACCAGCCAGGCTAAGGCAAATGAGGAACTAGCTTGTTAGTCTGAGCCTTCTGCAAGAATTTTCACAAATAAGTGATGACCCCCTCCAGTGAGGGTCCCTGAAGCTCTTAATCTGCCAAGACATCTCCTCAGCTCTGAATTTAAAAACTTAAAGACTTATTACGCGCACATGTGTGTGTGTGTGTGTGTGTGTGTGTGTGTGTGTGTGCGCGCGTGCGTGCGTGCGTGTGTGTGTGTGTGTGTGTGTGTGTGTGTGTGTGTAGTTTGATCACGAGGAGGGAACAGCCCTTGCAGCCTCTCAGCATTCACCTTTAGGCGTAGGGGATGCCCAGGCTGAGAAGGTTTAGGAAAGGACCCTGTAGGGAAGGACTGAGCCTATCCTGAAATAGGACTGGCAGGATTTCCTACCCATAAGAGGATTTTGTAATCTGTATCCTGGATACCCTGGGTAGTTGAGCATCACTAAAGCCTGGCTGGACCATTGTTCTGCATGTTCTATGCAAGGCAGCGTGGACTCACTGCAATGTCTTGATCAGCCGCACACATTGTAAGGTGGTCCTAGTGGGACCTCTGGTGGACCAGCTGGGTGGGTGGGGTGGAGATTTGGGCAGGGGCTGCAGGCAGAGAATTCACCCAGGGTGTGAGGGCATCTTGGGAGCCTAAGGGGGAGCTTTGGAAGCCTGGAAGAAGTCTTTAGCCATAGACACTTTATTTCTCCAGGTCCAGGGAGCTGCTGCAAGGATGTGCAAAGATAAGGGATGCTGAACTGTGCATTGGAATGATCCTCCCAGGGCATCTTCCCAGTCCTACAACCTGCTGGCAGGGAAGACTTTACCTGGGAACCTTCTCCATGGCTCATGCTGGTTTTCTGTGTATCATCGTCTGCTGTCTCCTGCTTTGGCCCCAGGGTCTTTGACATAGATTTCTTTGTCCCTGATGCCACCTCACAAGGCTGGCCTGTGCCATGGCTCTTTGTGTGCATACCTGATCACCTTCATCTGGTTCTCATGGCTGCCGCCACCTCCTGCTTGCTTAGTTTTGCTTCTGTCAGAATTTCACTCACCAGGAAGCTCACCACATATCTCCTGGTTCTTCAACATCTTCTCTCCTTTAGGGCCTCCTTTTAAATTATGTTCCCTGAAGGTTAGCCATGTAGATGGTAGGTTGCTTCCTACCCTCTCCTGGACAGGAAGGTAGTGGGGAGCTCCTGGTGAACCTGTAGGTGTCCCCACAGACTGAGTACTTGTCAGCTGAGCAGATTAAGGAATACAGCGGTGTCTTGGAGATGTTTGATGAGCAGGGCAATGGAAAGGAGAAGCTTGGAGAGTGGGAGCAGCTCGAGAGCCTGCTGGGAATCAACTTCACCAAGAGTAAGCTGGGCTGCTTGGGCAAGGACATGGATGGAGACAGTAAGTCATGGCTGCCAGGGTGTGTGGGGTGTGGCTACAGTCTTGGGCCATGGCCATCTGAGCATGTGAGTGGGGAGAGCGGCAGCTAGAGGGGAAAGGGTAGGAGTGGGCCTAGCCTAGCTCTAACGCGATTCCGGGACCAGTAAAATTATTTGCAGACAAAGGGTTCTTTAATGGCGATGGCTTCCTGGTGCTGATGGGGATCTACTATGGGAAATCCCACAAACAGAAGGGCGAGCTAACGGCAAGGATTTCATAGACTGGACCATACTCAAGGAGGGTCTTGGGCCTAGGGGTTGGTGGTGCCTGAGTAAACGGGGAGTTCATAAAGCTGCCAGCAGATGGTGGTTGAGTGTGAGACCTTGGCAGATATGTACTCATGACTGTGTGTGAGACGCTCGGTATGATGGAGGCTGAGCCAAGGAGACTGACGAGGATGGGGACGTAACCACTGATGGTGAAGATGAGCAATGGATGAGCCTGGGGACCGAGCCTCGGGGGGGCCAGGGGAGGCTGCTAACCTGTCAGTTTGTAGCCAGATGACAGGAGAGTCCTCCGACTTGGTCACCCTCCCTGCCCATAGCTCTGCATCAAATAAGTGTTCCGGCCAGACTCTACTGCTTTTCACTGTTCCTACCTGGAAGGGAGGGGTGCTAGGGATATGCGGGACAGTCCTGGATACACCATTCAGACCATTTCTCTCTGACCTTGGCCTTTCTCACTGTCCAGATCTGGGCTCTGAACACCAGCAAGAACAGTAAATGGACCCCCACCCCCCAATTAGCCCTGTCCTCCCACACTGGGGCGGCTACCTAAGTCTTCATGGACACCCTGGGGTCGCTAGAGCTCTTTCCATAAAGGCAGAGACCATGTTCACATAAACTTTATTCTCTTCTCAAAGGACTGTCATGCCGGTGGGGCTTGGGCTCCCAAGGTTCAGGCCCCTCTGGGCTGAGGGACTGCTGGGTCCCTGGTGGATGGCAGGGGCCAATACAGGGCAGGCTGGCCGGCCAGGCATTGCATAGCAACGAGGCCGAGTCTGCAGCAATGTGCTGGATGGCTGGCCTTCCCCGGGGGTGGGGGAGGGAAGGATGGCACAGGTGGGGTCCTTGGTTCCCAGTGCCAGAATCCAGGCTGTGGTTTAGTGGCTCCAGAAGAAAGAACTCCTACCCTTTTCAAAGGGGCACAGCTAGGGCTGCTGGGCACCGAGGCCTGGGTCTTGGGGCCCCAAGACCTCAGGCAGTGAGTTGGGTTTCTCAGAGGGAGTCACTGCTTGCTCTCTGGCTTTTGGCATCTTCACAGCCTCGTCATAGGAGGGTGGCAGCTCAGAGGCATACAGGCTGTAGGTGGGAGGGACCATGGATTCAGGGTCTGGCTCCCCGAAGGACAGAGGCAACCGCATGCCCAGTGGGTACTGCACGGAGCTGTAGGCTGCAGGGAACAAGAGTGGGTTTGTGTCCATGTCTGTGGCTCAGCATTCACCCCAGGGCCCACTGCCTCCCCCCCCCCATGTTGGCTAGTGGGTCCCCAGACACTCACAGGTCACAGTGCTGTGTGCGGGGCTGTCACTGTCCACAGGGACGACCGTCAGGTCACAGGGCTGCCATCCTGGTGGCATGTGTGTCTGGGTGTGCGGCTGCTTCCTGAGGCAGCAGAACCGTACACAACTGGCTGTGACCCCACACAGAAGCATCAGGAGTATGGCAAGCAGGATGAGCCTGGCAGAGAAGAGTAAGGATCTACCGCACACCTGTACCCTGGGGGTCAGCCGTGCCCAACCACCCAAGACAGGATAACAAGGTAGGTAAAAGGAGAGCAAGAGAAGTCTCTCCATGCCAGAAACTTCTTTGGCTAGATCCAGGCCCGAGGAGCAGCCTGCCCTGGCTGGCTATCTAGAGCTGGCCAGAGATGTCCTTGGGTTTATTCCCAGGACACTCTGTCCCCAGCCAACTGCACAATCCGTGTGCCTTCTGCCGACTATAATCAGGTCTTGCTTCCAAGGCTGCCTGGGGCTTAAGAGCTCTTCGGGGTCCAGGGAGTTGGGGGGCAGTCGATGGAAGGGGTTTGGCCCGCCTAAGCCTAGAAGAACTGTCGTACCAGAGGCTTGGCACCTCGGCTTCCACTTACCCCACATGCCATAGGCTACTCCAGCGGGCCTGGGGCGGGCACCTGCGGGGACAGCGGCACCTGGAGCCGGTTGGGGGTAGCTCAACTCCACCGCTCCATCCTTTCCCAGCGCACGGGGCCAGGCTCTGCCTCTCCCCGCCCTCCCCCGCCCTCCTACCCCTGCTCTCGCGGTCCCAGCTACTTACTGGTCCGAGGGGTCACAGCTGCCGTCCGCGGAACCCAGCGTCACCTGTGGGAATAAGGGTGATCCTGAGCGGGGCGGGGCCGAACTCAGGGCCGCCCCACTTGCCATGAGCCCGTCGCACGCGCGGCCCAACCCACCTGCGACAGCGGCAGGAGAGGCAGCAGCATCAAGAGCCCCTGTGTGACTGGCGGCCCAGGGGCCATGCTCCGCAGACGCAGCGGAACTCGGTCCAGCGTCCTCTCAGCTTTACGAGGCCCCGCCCCTGGGCCTTGTCAGCTGAAGGTCCAGGATCACGCCCACCTTGGTATGCTTCCCTCCTTGCTCCCTGCCCTCCATTTTTCTGTCCCCGGAGGTTACCATCCCGGGTTGAAAGAGCACTCGCGCGCATACATGCACACAACACACACGCGCGCGCGCGCATACGCAAATACCCGGTTCGAGAGAGCGCGCACATGCACTAGTGGAGACACGCACCTCCTTCAAAGACCAAGATCGTCGGGTGAGCCCTAGGAGGGTATAGCAGGTCTTGCTCTGGGCATGGGGTGAAGGTCTGTCTTATATCAGACTGGCGCCTCACCCAGCCACCCCTTTACCCTCATCCCCATTCACAAACCAGGTCTCCTGAAACTTGTGGGCTGCACTGGGTTGTGGCCTCTCAGGACAAGTAGAATCCACCCTCACACTCCACGACCCTCTAGGTAAAAGGGGTGGGGTTGACACTATTAATAAGCCGGGGCTTTAGCCTTCCAAACCACCGTTCCAAGGACATTTGCTATGCATCCCCCATGTGGACACATTTTGGCCTGGAGCAAACACCTGGCTCTGGGCTGTTGAGGTGCTATAAGAGGACCACTTTCCAGCCCTCCTCCCACAACAACCTGGAATGCCCTCTTCTACTGCTGAAGTGGGTGCCTCTTCCTGGAGGATTTTATCAAGCGGTCTCCCTCCAGGCTAGGTGCTCTGCCTGGCTGCTCTGCCCTCCACTGCTAGGGAACTAGCAGACACACAACAGTCGTGGTCAGACTGCAGGGGGCGTCAGCACAGCCAGGCTGATTAAGGAAGGACAGGCTCCTATGCACTCAGGACACCCTTGCCTCTCAGCGGCCCTGTGTGCCGGGCTGTCTCCTGTCTTCCTTCCTTCCTTCCTTTGCTCTGCTTTGGCTGTGCCAGCACCAGAACAGGAAGAAAGAGCGGGTGTCAAAAGTGCAGCCTGACGCCCACATCAGAGCCTGAGGTTCAGAAGGGGGAGGACATGGGCAGGATAGCCACGTCTGAGTTCACAAGGAGGTGGCCCGCCTGGGGTAGCGCTTTCCCTGAGCATGTCCTCGTGAACCCCAGACTGGTCCAGTGGACCTGCTTTTGCCACCCATCTGACCTGGAAACGCGTCAAGGGTTTGAGGTTATGAGTGGTCAGCTCCAGTCGGCAGCAGAGGGCCTGGGGCTGATACCTCCAGGGCCACTGAGCGGAAATCCTACAAAATCCTGCTGTAAGGTCGATGCCGCTGGCTCGCTTAGGGGCAATGCCAGGCTTCGAGGTATCAAGGGCACTCAGGACAGCAGTGAGTGTCCAGGAGAGCACCCGGATAGATGCCATCACCCCCACCGCCCTGCCAAGGCATAGGAAGGCTGAGAAGGCTCTCTTGGTAGCTTGTCCCCACAGAGTGGCAAAGCAGGGACGCTGGATAAGCGCTGGTGCAGTGTTGGAGCGGGAGTACAGCCGAGTGGGTTGGGGCCCAGAGAGCAAGGTTCATTCTTTTCTGACAAGTGCAAACTCAAACCCAGAAACTGCTCCCCCCACCCCCCCACACACATACATACCAGGCCCACCCCTCCCTGGGACCACCTAGGTTCCTGGGACTTGGGAGGAGCTGGGAGGCTTAAGGGACCTTTCTCTGGACTTTGAAATTCTTCTCCTCCCCCCCCCACTCCTCCCTGCCCCTTTCCAGGCCTGGGCCAGACTCGACCCTGGCTCTGCGCTCCCCCCCCCCCCACAGCACTCCGTTGTACAGATTAATCTCCGAGGGATCTTCCAGTGTTTGAGTCGGGGTGAACCTCCTCTAGTTATCTGGCAAGACCTCACCCTCTGGGAGGTTCTTTCTAGGCAGAACATTGCTTTATGGGTTGGGGTCTGCGAGGGGGAGTGGGGGTCAGGCTTTCACCAGGTTCTCCTCTCGCCTTACTTTGTGTTGAGCCAGCCCCCCACCCACCCCAACCCCATCACTGCACATTTCTGTGTTGATTCTTAGAGTTTATTGACAGGCCTGCGATATCTCTAAAGCCTGAGGAGGTCCTGGTGGGTTTGGGGTCCAGGGGTAGGGGTGGTGCATCTTGGAGCAGGCTGTGTGCTGCGGTGAGTTGGACGGATTACTATTTCTTGACTTGAGTGGGGGCGGGGTCTTGGATTGCTCTCTGGGCAGCAGGAAGTAGCCATGTCTGTAGGGCTGGGGAGCTCTGGCCCTGGGACTGTCCATTTGAACCTGCCCAGCATGGGGTGCCCAGGTCCCAGGCCTAGGGGAATGTGTTGGCTTGACCCAAAACCCTGGGAAGGGATTCAAGAGTGGATGGGAGAGACCAAGAGGCTCTGAAGTTTCCTGTGACCTCAGAGCCCAGCCACCACGTAGGCCACAAAGATGACTTTGTAGGTCTCCTTTATATCACCCCGGAGCAGCAGTAGGGTTGACACCATGAGCGGGTGGTCTGGCTGGAAGAAGAAGCTCCTTAGTAGGCTTTCCAGACAGACCTGTCTGCCCATCCCCATCCCCAGTGCCCTGCCTGGGGTCCCAGCACCTACATCAAAGTCAGCGGGAGGTACCCAGGAGATGCTGATGGTCTTGGTCTGACCGCGCTCCACGGAGCCCCTGCAAGGCTCGATGGAGAAGCCCTTGTGCTGAAGCCACGCGGCCCCGTCCAGGCTGAACTCCACAGTCTGTGAGGCATTGATAGATACTACTGGAGGTTAGAGGCTCAGGCACTCTCAGGAGGCAGTAGGACTAGAGGGCTGGGGGTTGCCCAGCTTTACCCACCACTCAACTCTGACCAGGGTTGCCTGCCACCCCACATCTGCTGCAGAAGTCCTACACAAGGCCAGGAGAGGCCAGGGAGGCCAATGAGGCTTCTGCGGTTTAACTCAGGCTAAGGTTGGAATCACCTTCTTTGGTGATGGCTGGGTAGTCCGGATGCAGCCCACTTGCAGCTCTCGGGTGGCAGGTGGGTTTGGCATGTCCGTGTCAAACTGGACATAGTTCAAGGTCACCAGAATGGGCTTTATGTCCTCCGCTTCTGGAAGGGGAGATCTAGCTGAAAAGTGGCTAGATAGAGGATGTGGCCTGGGAATGAGGGGAGCTGTCCAGGGTCAGGCAGCACCATGGAGGGAGGGAGGTGGGTGGGGGTGGGGTGAAGCTGGAACCTCCCATAGCAATCGGCTTGGTAGAGATCATCCTGCCTGGCTCTGGGGCTGATGGACTGGAAATCTTCTCTTCCCCAGTGGGCCTTAGTATGCCCACTTGCTGGCTTGGGGTGCTGGAGCGTCCTCTAGCTGATCCCCAAGGTTTCCCCTGCCCCTCCTGAGCCAGAAATCACATGGTGGGGGCTCACCGTCTCTATGTTCTGGGTCCAAGGCAGGGATCACTGTCAGGGACTCCACAGGCACATCCAGTGGGTCCCCTCCCTCCACAAACATCATGTGCTCTCGGGCAGCGCCCTTCAGAAAGATCTGGTGGGAGACTTTCTGGGGACAAGAAGCATAACAACCTGCCCTGCAGCTTGACAGTTGGGAACCGAGGCTGGTTCAGGGGCGGGGCCGGGAGATCCGGGGATGCTGACATCTGCCTGACATCCTCCAACACAGCGCCGGCGCGTGCCAGATAATAAAAGCCTCCAGGGAGGGGCAGATGAGGGACCCCCACCCAGAGTGGCGTGGGACCTGTGGGGGCCCCAGCTACGATCTCCACCTTTTCGAAGAGCACCACTTGGAGCAGGTCAGAGAAGTAGAGGCTTTCATGGTCTGGACTGAACGTTACGGTGAATTCTTGAGCCTTCCCAGGCAACATGAGTCCCTCGACCGGAACAACACTGAACACGCTCTGGCCACTGTGGTTCTGCGTGCCTGTGGGTGGGGCAAGGGTTACGATCAACACCCCCAGTCCTGCTCCACTGAGCTCGTCATGCCTCTCTGCATTCCTATTCGCCCAGTCTCTCCATGATCTGCCCTGCCCTGCCCTACCCTGCTCCACCCTGCGCAGGACCCCCATTTCCCAGCACATATCTACTCATGGTTCTGTATCCCCGTGGTTCCTGGCAGTGCGTTAACTCACCAACAATTTCCGTCCTCTGCTCGTGGGAGGTGAGGAACTTCGGTAGCTGTTGCCGGGCCTCGGCCCTTTTTGTGGAGAGGCTCTCCAGCCGCATCCAGAATTTAATGGGAAGCGAGGATTCATTCTGTAGCTGCAAGAGCAAGATGCCACTCAACTAGTATGCCCTAAGCTGCCCTATGCCTGTGGTCAGTGAGTGACCCCGACTAGGCTGCCTGCTGCTGGGTCACACCTGACGGGGACCCGGTCACAGTACGCTCCAAGCCCTTTTCTCATGGTATCACAGGCCGTAACCGCAGTGGCAGTGTTTGGGACTGCTGGTGGCATTCAGTCACTCATCCCACACTGGCCTCTTCCGAGGCCGGCTGGCAGCCTGCCTCCCTGCCGGCACTGTGCCTGTCGGCTGTCCTCTTAGACGGACCGTGGCCTCATCCGGTCTCTCCCCAACCTCAAGCCTCTCTCTGGATAGCACCCTGTCTGGCACTCCACTTCAGGACCCCACCAGAGCAGGTGAGCAAGTGGGATGCTTGAGTCCAAACCTAGGGTACCCCTCAGGGCGAGACAGGACCATGCTCACGTGGAGATGAGGGACCCAAGGTGATTGAGTGGATCTCCTCAGAGGTCTGCCTATCCACTGGGTGGGTGGGGGTGGGGGGGAGTTGGATGGGTGGGGGAAGGGCGCCTAGACAGAGTTCCAGAGAAGGAATTAAGCATCGAAGCAGAAGGGCAATGAAGGCCCTGATGCAGAAGACGTAAAACATCCTTCAGGCCAGCGCTTTGGCTTAGGGTTAAGGGTAGGGTGGGGGGGGATTCCAGCTTTCCCACAAGTAAAGGCTCTGGGGCCCTTGGTAAGAAGACATTAGAAATGACAGCCCTCTGGGAACAGAGAATTTGGAAGAGATAGCGTGCCTCCAGGGGTTCCCCAACCAGCTGGGCACTTCTGATTGCGCACAGTTCACTGGCTCTAAGAAATCTTTTTTTTTTTTTT